GGGGGGGGGGGTCTCTCTTCGGGAGAGCCCCCCAACCTAGTACTTGTGGGACCTGTTTCAGCAGGTCCCCAAAGGATCGGGGTCCGCCTGCCTTTTGGGTAGGTGGGCCAAAGTATTCCTTGCCCCTGTCAGGAGTCTTGCGCCCCGGGCAGTCGGGAAATTGTGGCCCCTTCTTTATTGAAGGACCAAGCACCCTTGTGCACGTTTTTGTGTTGTGATTTCACGATTCACTTTTTTTGTTCACAGGGGATTCGTTTTCAAGCACGCTCCAAGCACGCACGCTTTAAAAAAATAAATTGTAGGCATTCCCGCTTCTCGGCCTTTTGGCTAAGATCATATGTAGTATCTGTTCTTATCAGTTTTCGGAGAGGAACAGCACCGTCCTGTAGGGGGGATGGTATCTATGAAGTGAAGGTGGGCGTCGAGAGGTTCTTTCTGAGGTGGAAACTTCTCGGCGCCGATGCCTCCTGATGGGAATGGGTGCTGCCCTTGTCTGGCCGGAGGGTTCAGGAGGCACAGAGGCCCGTGGTGCTGTGCCCCCTGGGGGTGGTGTCCCAGGGTGTGCCAGAAAATCACTTGGGAGTGGGACCCCACAGTGATTCACTGTCACTAGGTCACGGCACTTCTTGCATTATCTACACTACGCCTCCTAGGCAGGCCTTTTGGCTTGCCTGGGGCAATATTTTCTACTCTGGCCGAAAGGCATGTCAGCGTTATGCACTGTCACCTATTTATTTTATGCACGACTGAGCACCTTTGACTCCACAGAAGACGGAGGGCGCGGGTACCTTCGGGTGCCCGTCCTGAAGTTGGGGAGGAGATTCTGTAGCCTCTATTGGCTCCCCTGCCTCCTCCCACTTGGGGGTCTCTCTTAGAGAGAACAGCAAGAAGTTTTCCCAGCACACTCACCAGCCAGCATGCAAAAAAACTTGTCTCACCGCTAAGGTTAAAAGCAGAGGTTTAGATACACTTCTGCAGAAAATGTGAAAGCCGCACCGCCGCGCCAAGGCACCTCCATATAGTGCGGTCCTAACTCTAAACTATGAAAGTCTCCATCTTGGAGCACATGGGGCAAAAGATAAAATTGGGTGCAGGTTTGTCAGGAGGAAGCCCAACCTCCTTAAAGGCACAGGAACGCAACGGCGGGGGTCCCTTTTTGCTGTTGTACTGTATAAAGCCCTTCCATGTGCACCTTGCTCTCCTCAAGAGAGCCCCCACCCAGTACTCGTGGCTCCTACTTCGGTAGGGCCCTGAGGATCGGGGTCCGCGCCCCGGGGGGTTCAGGAATTCGAGGAACTTCCTCTTCGGAGGACCACAGCACCCTCGTGCACTTCTTTTTTTTTTTAGTGTGTGGTGATTTCACTATTCACTTTTTTGTTCACAGGGGTGAAGTTTGTCTTCTATGCATGCATCATGGACCCTAAAATTAGGCATTTCCAAAATGTGACCATGGACTTAGGACCTTGTTTACACAGTGACAACATTGGCAAGTTCTACATGCTACTTTACTCTGTTATAACTCACCACCAGCATTATAATAGTACTTCCCCTGGCAATAGAACGTCTCCCCCACCAGGAAACTATAGTATCCCCCATTCCTTTCCAACCAGACCACAATACGTTATCTATGTTCTCACTCACCTCAATCCAGCAATAACTTATATTGTACCCCAAGTCTGTAACCGATCCTATAGCATTCTCCTCCAGCCAACAATGAGTAATATACCCTCCCTGTAGTCAGTTTCCCCCGTCCCTCCCCAAGTCTTCCTTTTAACAGGTCCATGCATACTATCCAGTAGCCCCCCCCTAGGACTAGGCATGTGCCCTGGGTCTCCAGTCTATTGCCCTGGGCCTACATCACCATATTGGTTTGACTATTTCTCCTGAAGTGGTGGCCAGCTTTGCCCTCATGCTTCTTGTGTGCCACTATGGTGAATGTATATAGTGCTTGTACCACTATGTCCAAGATATAGTATATGTAGATATATGTAATTTGAAGGATTAATAATGGCACAGTCACCAAGGAATAAATTGAATATGTTCAGAACCAATGTGGCAGCATAGGTTTCCATTGAACACCCTGGAGACAACGAACCTTGGTGACAACGTCAGTTTGAGTCCTCCTAATTACATGCAATGTCTGAGCCCTGATGAAGGTTATCGAGCTCCTGAAACGTGTTGGTTGTTTTATGTTCTGAATAAACAAGTGATTTTGGACTCTTGTATCGTTTTGGCCTGGCTCTCTCAGTAGACTTTTTGCACCTAGATCTCAAACCTTGGGTCCCCTAGTTAAGGAGCACCCTGGTCTTGTTGAGAGTGGCCTCACCGGCACCAGTGCGCTCCATATGAAGTTGATTGAGTTTCTTTAGGCGTTAACTACTAATAAGTGGAATCCAGAGCCTCCGATATACATAAACAGGTTTTGAATTCTGTCTTTGTCCTCGCTGGTCACCAGACAGAAAGTGGAATTTTACATTTGTCACCAGAAGAGATTTGGGGTCAACCTTCCACTAGGGAGACCTTAGAGAGGACCTCCTCCCACTTCTAAGCGATTTTCTCTCATTTTCTGTTGCATCTCCAGGACAGGAAGTGATATCTCTCCAACAGGACCTTTTTTTTTCTTCTGCTGATGTTATTGAGACAGGAAGTGAGGGAAAATCTCTCCAATGGGTACACAGATGCCAAGAAAAACCCAACATGGGTCCTAGCACTTCCCCAATGCCCTCTGAAATGTCAAAATTGAAAGTCACAGCTTTGGCTGGTGTTCTGCTTGGACCGTGATGAATATTTTCCTAATCTTCTACAGGAAATTACCATCCAGCAGGTCATGGCACACTTGGACTCCTTACGGAAAGACATGGTGATTCTGGAGAAAAGTGAATTTGCCACCCTCCGGGCTGAAAACGAGGTAATCGTAATTCCCGTGTTCAGAATAAACATGTGTAAAGGAACACGTGTCCTTCTTCTCCATCTCTCCATTCATCATCATCATTGTCGTCTCATTACCTCTTCTGAAACAACCCAACAGAGAGAGAGAGAGAGAGCGCAGTATATTGGCATTTGCTGGTGGGAGGAGTTGGGAGCTCAGATACATGTTACCACTGGAGGCCTTGATTTTATAAAGTTGTAAATTCCCAGCATGCACTATCCTGTTATGACATCAGCACTGTAATAGGAATACATAGTAGAGTTGACTTTCATAATACAATCAAAGCTTAGTTGAAAAAATCCCTTTTATGTAGTGAGCGCTGCCTTCTGTCTGTCCATCACTTCCAACAACTTCCTGGACTCCCAGTGTGCTTTGTGTCTCTTTCCCTGCTGCTTGATGTGATGCAATCTCCATTTCACAAGACTTCATATCCCATCATGCATTGCTTCCAGCAAGCAATGACAATGTTACATTGTTCAGACTTTGAGTTGTAGTTTGTTTTGTAATTTGTAGTCTTCTGGGTACAGGGCTAATCATGATGATGAATATATGCCAGCCGTGTAGCAATGTGCCATTCTTGGGAACACAAGGGGGAGGATACAGAGAGTTTAGAATCAAGTGACATTAAGGAGTAGCTGATGCTTGGAACAGTGGGTAGTAGGGCGGCAGCTAACTATTATTTTCATAATCGATTAGATGCCCGATAATTTTTTTCAACTAATCGATTGGTTGTATTAAAAACAAAATTCTATCTCCCTCAAACCAACTAATCGATAATGAGAACAGTTGCCAACTATTCTCATAATCGATTTATTATTGATTTAATCGATTAGTTGTTACAGCCCTAGCGGGTAATGTGTCAATCAGCAGTTGGTGGCTGATGTATAAGGGTTTTGCCCGGCGTATGGATAGGTGAATGCAGTTTGCATGGCATTTCAACCACTAGATGGTGCTGAGGAGCACGGGAAATTCCTATGCTCCTCTAGTTCCATCTAGTGGCTGCAGTGCCATGCAAATGGCATTCACCTATCTATACGCCGGGCGAAGTCTTTATACATCAGCCGCTAAGGAAATTTAAACATTCTTGGGACAAATCTTGATCTATATACAAAATGATTCCTATACAGAGAATTGATCATGTCAAATGTAAAGCCTAAACGAGGAGGACGTCCCAGTAGCCTCTACATCAGGTGTAGGGAATTTAAATTCAAGGAGGTCTGGTGAGTAAAATTTTCATTGAGCAGAGGTCTGAATCACGGGGGGGGACCATCACTCAGTCCATGTCTGTACTGCGGTCCTTCATTTAGGATGCACTGACATCAGCAGTTGCACTGGAATGTACGGCTGCTGGTGTGTGTTCCCAAACACAGTGCAAAGAACCCCAAACCACAGTGTGTGTGTGTGTGTGGGGGGGGGG